ACAGCATCATTTTTGTTTATTTGATAGTGACCCCAGTTTGCATTCTTTCCCCAGGAAGCGATATTCTTATGAAATTTATGACGTCTCCTGATCAAATCTCATAAACACTATATACTCCACATATTTTGTAAACACAACTGAATCATAAATGGTTTAACTGGTTTGCTGTTAAAAAAATGATTGGCTTTGGTTTAGAAGAACTATTTTAAAGAAATATCCAGTTTATTTACAGCAGTATTCAATTTATTATATAATTAGATAATAATTAGATAATTATATTTTTTATAAATCCTCTTTACTTTATTTCAGAATGAGAATGAACAATATTTGTTGTCAAATGAAAGGATATATTCTGAGGATTTTGAATGCATGTGGCAAATATTACCACAATCTTCAATTCCTACAATTACTCTCGAAAATGTATGTACCACATACGTGTAGCCTCGCCTTTTAATAATAAACTTAATCTTTTAATTATAAACTAGTTAACAAAGATCTACAATAATTATATATCAAACTTAACATATATGACACTGTTCAATTCGCTAAGTCATAAATTTGTAGATAAAACGGTCAGGTATACTATAGTTTGTTGTTGTTATTATTATTATTATCATCATCATCATCATCATTATAACTATTATTATTGCTTTTTCACGATGTTCATCTCTTTGTTCGTATGTTTGTTTTCTTCTTCGCTTTCGAATCAAATTTTATCCTTCATATACATTACTTTTATCCAAGTTTCTGATGAAAACAATGCTTATGACCGTATAATTGAATATCCATTGATTTACACAAAGCTATTTTGGATACGATACGTTATTTGAGTCCCAATTGTCTTCCTTTCAAATGTCACATTTTTGACTTGTAAAAACGACTTATTTTTAAGGTAATCTAACAAAACAAGGATGAGTATCAGTGTAGGGAATCTTCACTGTTTCATTATAAAATATAATTATACTTGAACCACACACAAACTAATCATTTAGAAAACGTTTTGCTATGTCATAACTGGTGGAGAACATGTCTGTATTAATATGCATTCATTTCTGACTTAATAACATTTTATAGTTTAATACTTTTATGTTTATCTCTTCAGCTACCCAGAAATCTAAACATCACATTTGAGATAATAAAGGAGATATTGTCAGCAATTAGGACAGTGAAACATGAGATAAATGACATAGACCTCAGTTTTACCATCAGCAACCTTGAAAGTATGGCTTATGACGCACTTTGTTCTCTTAATTACCTAGGTCTTCAGTCGGGCGTCACACTTTCCCGCCAAATATATTTACGACAGACGACAGTATCTTGTTATACAGAAATAACCCTTATGAGAAGATATTTAATCGAAAGGGAGATTTTTAAAAATGTCGTTTCAATAACGAATGGTCTGTTTCACAGCTATAATACATTTATGCATCAGATTTAATTAATGTTAATTTCTAGTCTTTTTTTATTTATTTGTCAAACGGGTATATATGCATGTATTTGTCTTAGTTTTGTTTTATGTCTGACTGCCTGTTTCATCTGTTTGTCTAAAATTTTCATTTGTTAGATAAACTGAAGATTTCTATGTAACAGAATATTTCAACAGAAAATATTGGTTTTAAATATTTGACCCCATCGGTTTCACAAATTGTTAAGCGAAATTTCGTTCGTTAAGTAAAAATAGAATACCTATTATTTTTCCTAAATGAGTACACTTTTATTGAAAGTTTAAATATAAAGAGTTTTTTTCTTTGTTTATATGTTCAGACTTTATGGAAGTTATGCCAACTGACACTTTTGTGCAATATCTTATAATAATGGTTCGTAGCTATATGCTAGTGCGTTTACTGATATGCCCATATCTTGTGTTCAGAAATATATCATTTTCTTTATGATAATTCGTCATTTCATTTTGACTGTTAAGTATCTACGAGTGCATTGAACAGGTTTACATCATTATTTCTTTTGTTATGTATTATAGAAATATATATTTAATAAAACATTACAAAAAAATGTTGACTTACTCATTAAATATTGTTTATAGAAAAGTCTGAAAGATAAATATGTTGTTTCATGATTGCGACTTGCTTGTTCAAATCCAAGTTTTCAGGGTAAAAAAGCGATTCTATATATTGATATCATTTTGTAAATTCAATTTTGGAACCAATCAAATGACTCTTAATGATAAACATGGCGATTAAAAGATTTTATCGGGTATCAAATGGTGTGCATGTTACCTCTAAAATATATCCATAGTGGAGTGTAAGAAGAGCATTTGATTAATATTGTCGTTCAAAACATGCAATAGATATTCAAACTGTGAAAAAACAAACTACATATGTATGTATGTATTGTATTTTTAAACAGAGTCGGTTAACTTTAGTTATAAACACTTCTATTGATCAAACCTACACAGAAATAGACGTTTTATTTGCTTTTTAACTGTTGATGATGATTGAAAAGCTTTATATTGTTAATGTCATATTTTAGTTTCCAAAAAGTGGACTAATTGATCATAAACGCAAGACCCCCTCCCCCTTTTTTATTTGCAATTACATGATTGTATTACACTTACAGTGATTCAGTATCTTGTACGAAATTTAATATACCATTATTTTCATTATACTACTTTTGTGACAAATTATTTTTCGTTCAGTGCCGTACCCGGGTCTACATTATAAAACATGGACATATGTATATTAATTTGCCTTTTCTGTTGAAAGAAAATGTAATTGTTTCTGAAGTCCATTAAAAGGCACATTATGTCTCAGAAACGCTTTTATTTTCATTTTTCAAATGCTTTTATTTTAGTGCCCTGTTATAGTTTCCAAAATCTGAAACATATTTTGCTTCTGGTGCTATTTTTGCAATAAGTAAAAAATATATAAAAAATAGTGGTTTACAATTTTGCCGTGTTTGGTTTTTTAGGGGTTCTGTTTTTCACTATTTTATTGTCACATCCCTGTTATGACGATCGTTAAGCACGACATTATTGTTGTGTATACATTTTACATGGTGTTTTTAGTTTCTTGTATTTGGCCTTTTTCAATGTGGGTGGTTCCAGTATTCCTACTTGAATACTGTATAATCACCCTTAGGATATGTTGCCTGCTTTTTAACTTTGTCTTTTGACGTCTTATATGTGATATGCAGGCTTCATAACCTCGGATCCCCTTTCTAAATTCCATTTTATTTAGTTCCGCCCATTGTTTTCTCGTTTAGGCCACGCATTCTTTTACTAAGGGACCATACGCCGCTTTTCATGGAATGACACTAATGTGGCACATTGAAGGTTCCATGATAACCGCCGTATGAACACATATGCGGATGTTTCTAAATTCAAAATTTCACCATTTTAGTGTTCTGCTTAAGCCGGTGCTAGGGGGCGTAGACGGTAACTTGCAATTTCCATTACCGTCCATGAACAGGCTCAATCAAACCGAGCCTGCAACATTTAACAATTTTGCCGAGTTGGGCTTTCTTTAGGGGTTCTGTTTTTCACTATTTTAGTATTTTATATTGAAGTCAAAATACCGCTTTTCATGGTATGGCACTATAATGTGTCACATTGAAAGTTCCATGATAACCGCTGTATGAGCAAATCTGTAGATGATACTAAATTCAAAAATGCCCCATTACTATTCTTAAATGTTTGATATTGTTTAAGCCGGTGTTAGGGGGTCTTATATATTGCAAACCGAGCGTGCAACATTTTCAATTTTGCCGAATTGGACTTTCTATGGATTTTTGTTTACATTTTTCTGTTTTTATAACAAATAATTTTAGATTCAGCGCTACTTTCTTCAGATGATAATTTAAGTATCTAAAATGCACTAAATCTATTATTTAAACGCTATAGAATTCATGTTTGCCCTTTCTAAATAAGAAAAAAAACTATTTCGTCTCAGAAGTATACATTGTAATATGCCGCGTTGGAATCCCTGTCCCTTTCCTTTGACGACACGTTCATGGTAGAAGTATTCTTATGCTGATTAAATGTATAAGACTGAACTATAAAGTATCATAATGCGTTTTAAGTTGCAGTAAACAATTTAATTCAGACAAAATGCAACGACATTATACAGTATTAATTATAATATAATGTTTTGTAACGTTTTGATGTTGAATATTTCAGCTGTCAAGTAAAGTTTACTGTACCCATTAGTCCAGACTGGAACAAAAAATAATATTAATTTGTATATTTTTGGTCCCATGTTCAGTTGTTTGAGCAAGTCAACATCTTTTTAGTTTCCTGTCTGCTTTCTTTTGTTTGCTGTATACCTACATGTATCTTTAAAGTTGGTTATTTCACATTTGGCTTAAATTTTGTTAATATTCTCAACATAAATGTTTATGTAGGCCTACATGTATTGTTTTTCCAGTGTGCTTGAATTTTGTTTGCTTATTGCCAGCTTGTGAGGAAGCTGCTGGTCACTTCTTGCCAATTTTGAGTTGGGGATATTTATTTTTAAAAACCTATTTAGTAGGTCACACTTTTGTGATCCTTTTCATTTTCAATATCTTATTTTCTTTCTTTTATAACAGTCCCTATGCCTGGGTCAAGATCAGCAGAATCCACCCAACTTTTAATTTAATCTTATTTTATGTATGTGCTAATATGTTCCGCTTTTTTAAAATCTAAATATATATTATTTTATTCATTTATAATACAGTAATTAAATGTTATCCTTAGCAGATCAATACGATTAATTACTTATTATTATTTTACTTTAAACTATTACATTTAATGTCTACATCCAAAATTATAGTATTACGATTAATTTAACTTGCTTTTTACCATTTGTCTTTCAAAGTTAATCATAATGTGCTTCTTTTATGAGTTTTATGATTATATGCAAGTATGTTGGTCAAAAGCTATACATAGGAAATGTTTTGTAAAATGTTTAATATGTATATACCGACAATAAATAAATTTTGATTTGATTTAACGATAATGTTGACGCTTAATTTACAGCGGGTCTTTCCGCTTAAATTAGTCCTTGCGGAAGATATGAGCGTCTATAGAAACCAGATTTAATATGGCAGCTTCCTTGTTGGGCAGATTCCAAGGTTCACTCGTAGGAGCGATAGTTGGAGACTGCATCGGTGCTGTTTTTGAAGGGTTTGATTGGTCGACTGTGGTTGGAACGGACAGAGTTCTAAAATTGGTTGAAAAAATAGAGACTGGTAATTTATCTGATATAATGATAATTTCTTACTCTGTGTTTTTCAGACGCTTATTATTCACTGTGTTTACCGTTTTGCTTACAGACACCCGAGGCCCACCCTTTAAACTGCCAATAAAAAGTTTTAACACAAATGAGGAATCTGTGTAAATCGTTAAATACTGAGAAATCTGTGTAAATCAATTAATATTTTTGTATACCATTTCCTCAAGAATAAAGAAAATCCCATTTATTGATACTAAGTCCAAGAAAGTAAAGATTGTGTCGCTGCGATGTCGTGATATGATAGAGGGTTGAGGTTTATGTAAATTGAATTATTTTGGTTTTAGAGGGCTTGTACTTTGTTTGGATGGGGGATCAAAAATTTGATCTACAACACAGTGAAAACTAAAGCTTATGCATAAATTTTAAGAACTATTATTGTTTTAATAAAAATGTAATCTTGTCACACTTCTTGATAAATTATACATCATATATATTTGAATATTTGAAATCTGATTTAAATATTTGTCTGGAATATCAGGGTTTCTACTAGGAATTTTTATTTAAAGAGACCCAAGGACTCGTGCTCATAAAATATGAGGGTCCCAGAGTAAAATGTCTTATGCCTGCTGCACAGTAAATGGGCCAATTTTTCAAAAAAACATGTAATGTAGGCTTTTTCAAAAAATATATTGCATTTTCTATTATTTTTTTGTGTTTTTACAAAGGACTTACTATAAAGCAAATGTGCCCAAATTTTTTTTAGGATAGCATTACCCAAAATAAAGATACAGACGTTTTTATACCCTAAAAATGTCCATTTTTACATGTAATGTGTTAGCATCTGTTTTTTTGGTGTTTTTTAGAATTAACACCACTATTATCTGTTTTAATCTATCACTTAAATTTTTTTACAAGCACATAGAAAATTTAATAACCTTTCCAGTGATATATAATACTTGGTATACATCATCCTGGTTTTTATCGTCAAGATGATTTTAGTAAAATCAGACTTTTGTAATGCATCAGTTTTTTCAAAATTCAGTTGTTAAGTAAACAAGTATACCTTTAAGCAGTTACAAATAAAATAGTACTTGATTGTCTCAATCTAATGAAATATGAATTAAAAACATATGTTAAGTGCTTTCATTTCAAATTTTCAAACATTTTTACCATGGTAGGCATTTTAGTGGTAAAAAAAATTTTGTGATGAAAAAACTGTAACATCCGTCCCCCTCTCATAAAATATCCAATTTTAAAACAATACTCATAAAAAACAATGTTTCTGGTGCTTAATGATAGCCTTACAATGAAAATTTTACAAACATTGCCAATTTCTATGTTTATGAGAAAAAAAATACAATAATGTAAAAGTTGTCTGTAACATCCGTCCCCGTAACATCCATCCCCCTATATAAGGTGCTTATTAAATCTCATATAAACTGTAACTGAAAAGGGAATTTTACGCTAAAACACCAAATTTTCATTGAAAAATGAAGAAATAACAGAAATAAAGCACTGAAATGATGTATTTATGAAAAAAAATTATTTGTGAACACTAAATTCCTTAATTTTGAAAAAAAATAAGTATTTTTTGCTCTGAAATCAAAATTATTTACTTTGAAATAAAATTTATATGTTATTTTTTAACCTCTAGTGGACCAATGAGTTTATTAAGATAATATTTAAGCTTATATGAATTTATAACAAATATAATCTTTTGTCATGCTATGTTTACAAACTAAGAGTACAGAAGGGGACGGATGTTACAGAATTGAACTAAAAATTCTTTTTACAGTAATACAAAACTTATCTTGTTCTTATGATGCATGATAGAGAAGTAGTAAGCTTTGCAACTGTATAGGAATGTTTCACACAACAAATAAAATACAATTAAAAAAAACTAGAAGAAACAAACACAAAATCCATAACAGGATATATAGAAAAAAGTGCAAACGATAGAGATGTTGAAAGTATCTTTGTGATTAAAATTGGTCAATTGTTTAAACATAAATTCTTTAGCCTTAAATAGTTAACAAACCATGTATCCCAGCCCCTCATAAAACAGCGGGATATGGTTCCTAACTCTATACACACAGAAGGGGCTGGCACTTTATTGGAAGTTAACAAGCTGTATATTGGGAGCTGTGTATATTGTATATTGGGAAGTGTGATATATTACAAAACAGTAGGGGTGCCAATTAAGGGTACTTAAAAACAGTGGGAGGGACTACCATATCTTATTCAAGAATGTCTGTCTTTAAGTTTTAAAGTTGAAGATCAATTAAGTAAAAGGATTTATTGAACTTCAAAAATTTATAGGCTAAATACATGTATGTAGTCAATGAAAATTAAACAAAGAAATATAATTCTGTTAACACCCTGATTAAAATTTTTAGATTTTTTTCCCTATAAAAACTCAAGCACATTTATTTACAATTTGATTATTGTTAATTAAGTGAAAGAAACTTGTAAGTAAAGGATATGGCAAGTATTCCTGTAATGAAAAAGTTGGGATAATTGTGAAAATTATTCTGATAATAAACCCTTGGCAATTTATTTTGCACCTATAAATTTTATTGAATGACAAATTAGTTCATTTAGTTAAGCAGTTCATGTACACTGAAATATTTACAAAGACACTTATTTAAAGTTAGAAATAATGATATTATGACACTGAATCATAATGAAATCTTTGGATAATGCTGCTAACATTCCACATTAATTGATAGAACTTAATTGCAACAATTTAAAATCTTATAATTTTCAATGAAAATTTTTAAATTTAAAATTCAAGCTTGCATATGTTTCAATCTGAAAACTTCTTATTTACTTCTCACTGTATCATATCTTTCACAAATATAAATCTTATTATTTAACTAAAGTAATTTGTAAATAATTTCATGTATAGAAAGGTACCGTTGGTATGACATTCTCTCTTTAACGTTTATGCATAATCTGGAAACAAAGGTTCTTTTATTTAATTAGCAATGTTTTTATTTTATTCCAAACATTTCAATGTTCATGCAAATGTAAGATAAATGGAAGAAAACTAAGTCAATGCAACTTTTCATTGTGAAACACAAATAGTAAGAAACTACATAATTGTCAGGTATATTTCTACATTTTCTCATAATTTGTTCAATTATTTTACATTTATTGTACTGTACAAAGCATATACTCTTATAAATTTCATTACTTTAAAATAAAACCAAAAATAGTATGAACTATGAGCTTTAAACATGGATTGTAACATCCGTCCCCCTAAAAATGTAACATCCGTCCCCCTGATACAATTCATTTTTGGATTATCTGACAAGAAATATACACAAGAAAGTCCTATAATTTCTACTGTTTTATAAGAAATGTGTTTGCATATTTGATTTAAGTATGATTTGGTGTACCTATCCCTATTTTTTTCTCTCTGTTTCTTACATGTTTGAAAATTTAATTTTGTGTGAAAAATACTGAAAATTTGAAAGCAAATATTTTTATATCTAAGATGAATTTTCTGGATTTTTTTTTGTAGCATTTATTAGAACACATAATATTTTAATAAAATAAAGAGAAATAATGCAATTTTTATTATAAACTGTAAGATATTCAGACTTTTAGTATATCTTTGTAACATCCGTCGCCTACCCGCACAGTCTGCAAGAGATGTAATATTTTGAAAACGGTATCCAAAAAGTTATCCTTTCTTTCCAAAAATATTGTTATAGACACCCTAAGGTACTTAAAAAGAGAAAATATTATCTTGTATGTTTAACTTTATTTTTTTGACTTAGATGCTAACACAATTGGCCCATTTACTGTGCAGCAGGCAATTACTGATTTTGGGGGGTGAAGTGTCTTGAGGGGTGAAGTGTCTTCAAAATTTGAGGGGTGAAGTGTCTGGAGGGTGAAGTGTCTTGCTACCAGAAAAATATGAGGGTCCTAATCATTTATTACTTTAAAGTAAGGTATTACTTATATATATAATATATTGTCTAGGTTTAATTCTTTGCATTTATATACATTGTTCAACTACATATGCATTTTTATTGACCTTGTTAAATAAAATAAAAAAAATAAACCATTTACTATGTATTATTTATTTTTGCTTTGTCAACTCAGGAAATACATTTCACAATGACATAATCATCATTTATTGTTACTTTTTAGCTCACCTGTCACAAAGTAACAGGGTGAGCTTTTGTGATCGCTTTTCGTCCGGCGTCCGTCCGTAAACTTTTACTTTAAATGACATCTCCTCATAAACCACTAAGCCAATTTCATCCAAACTTCACAGGAATGTTCCTTTGGTGGTCACCTTTAAAAATTGTTCAAAGAATTTAATTCCATGCAGAACTCTGGTTTCCATGGCAACCGAAAGAAAAAACTTAAAATATCTTCTTGTAAAAAACCCTAAGAGCTAGAGCTTAGATATTTGGCATGGAACATCTTCTAGTGAGTGTCTACCAAGTTTGTTCAAAAAAAATCCCTGGGGTCAAAATTGGCCCCACCCCAGGGGGTCATTGATTTTCCCTATATGCATATAGTAAAAACTTAAAAATTCTTCTTTTAAAGAACCCAAAGAGCTAGAGCTAAGATATTCAGCATGAAACATCTTCTAATGAGTGTGTACCAAGTTTGTTCAAATAAAAGCCCTGGGGTCAAAATTGGCCCCGCCCCAGGGGGTCATTGATTTTCCCTATATGCATATAGTGTCACACAGCTTCACACAGCTACAGCTGACAGCTGTCAGACAGACAACTCCCCCAAGCACTGTAGTGTATTTCAAAATGACTGTAGATGTTTACAAATTATTATATCATTTTAATGTTCATGTATATTTGTTTTATTAGTTATTTCTTGACAAGGTGACAGTTATTAGTCTACCCTTTTGGTATATATTGAGAGTCTTCAAACTGAACAGGCAGACTTCTATTTTACAACAAACTTGTGTCTGCTTGTTCAGGTAAGAAATTTTATATATTTTCATTTCTAATATTGTAGTATTAAAAACTATGTACTTAT